CTCCAGAATTCCAACAGGATGAGATGTCGGCACCCTCACCGGGGAATGGAATTATAGCTGCTACTCCCTTTCCTCGTTTGAGTACTCCCCCCGGACCTCCTGTTTTTACTTCTCCCATCCCGCCTACTGCTGTCCCCTTCCGTACTTCACCGGCATCTCCTCAGCCTATCATCTTCTCATCTGCTTCCGCCTTACCAGCTTCTCCTCAACCTGTGGGGGATTCGCCATCTGTTCTATTTTCTTCGCAGAAGGTATTGCTTTCTCTTTTTTTCCCTGATTAGTTATAATGAATGTTGAAACTCTGGTATAATTGTTCTCTCTCATTCGGACTGCTAACCTCAATTGTTTCATAAAATTTAGTTGCCATAAATTTACTTGCATTCTACTGCTATCTCAACCTGGATACAGGTGTTGAAGCTGAAGAAACAAGGTAATGTTCCTAGTTTGGGTTTTGGAGCACTGATTTCGCCGGGGAGGGATGTTTCATCAGGTCCTCAAATAATACAACGTGAGCCCCATCGTTGTCCAAGCTGTGGAGCTTATTCGAACCTGTATTGCAATATCTTAATTGGTTCAGGTCAATGGCAGTGTGTAATTTGTCGGAATTTGAATGAAAGTGAGGGTGAATATGCAGCACGGAGCAAAGAAGATCTTTACCATTTTCTAGAACTGTCATCATCTGTGGTTGATTATGTCAGAACTGGGAATCGGAGAGCAGGATTTATTCCAGCTTCTGACTCAAGAACGTCTGCACCCATTGTTCTGGTTGTTGATGAGTCGCTAGATGAGCCACATCTTCAGCATCTCCAGAGCTCCTTGCATGCATTTATTGATTCAGTTTCCCCCACAACAAGAATTGGAATTATACTGTATGGACGTACTGTATCAGTGCATGATTTTTCAGTAGAATCTGTTGCCTCTGCTGATGTGCTTCCTGGTGATAAATCACCGACTCTGGAGTCTTTGAAAGCATTAATTTATGGATCAGGGATATATTTATCGCCAATGCACGCCTCACTCCATGCAGCGCATACGATATTTTCATCACTGAGGCCTTATAAATTAAGCATTCCAGAAGCCTCTAGAGATAGGTGCCTTGGTACTGCAGTTGAAGTTGCTCTTGCCATAATCCAAGGACCTTCAGCAGAAGTGTCTCGAGGAGCGATTAGAAGGTCAGGGGCTAATAGTAGAATTATTGTTTGTGCTGGTGGACCTAATACATATGGCCCTGGGTCAGTTCTCCATTCTGTCAGCCATCCAAATTACCTGCACATGGAAAAGTCTGCTTTAAATTGGATGGAGCATCTTGGTCGTGAGGCTCATCAACAGAATACAGTGGTTGACATTCTATGTGCTGGAACATGCCCTGTCCGAGTTCCTATATTGCAGCCTCTTGTAAAAGCTTCTGGTGGTGTTTTGGTTCTTCACGATGACTTTGGGGAGGCCTTTGGTGTAAACTTGCAGAGGGCATCTGCTAGGGCTGCAGGTTCTCATGGTTTGTTAGAAGTACACTGTTCTGATGACATTCAAATCACCCAAGTTATTGGTCCGGGCGAAGAGGCACACATCGATACACATGAAACCTTAAAAAATGACACCTCTCTTTACATTCAAATGCCAAGTGTAGAAGAAGCTCAAAGCTTCTCACTCTCCATGGAGACTAAGAGAGACATAAAGAGTGATTTTGTATTTTTCCAGTTTGTTGTACAATATTCAAATGTTTATCAAGCTGACATATCAAGAGTAATTACTAAAAGATTGCCTACTGTTGATAGCTTATCAGAATATCTTGAAAGTGTTCAAGATGAAATAGCTGCAGTCCTTATTGCCAAGAGGACTGCCTTGCAAGCTAAAAGCCAGTCTGATGCTATAGATATGCGGACTACAATAGATGAAAGAGTAAAAGATATTGCTTTGAAATTTGAGGCCCTGGCACCAAAGTCAAAGATCTATCAGTTTCCAAAGGGACTATCTTTAATGCCAGAGCTTCTGTTCCATTTGAGAAGAGGCCCTCTTCTTGGAAGCATTGTTGGTCATGAAGATGAAAGGTCTGTATTGAGAAACTTGTTTTTGAATGCATCCTTTGACCTTTCCCTCCGCATGGTAGCACCTCGTTGTTTAATGCACCGGGAGGGGGGTACTTTTGAAGAACTTCCAGCATATGACCTGGTGATGCAGTCAGATGCTGCTGTTGTGCTTGACCATGGAACAGATATCTTCATTTGGTTGGTATGGCACCCTTTACCTACACTATCTTTTGGCAGATTATTTTTATTTTGGCATGCTTCATGTTTAGTTTGTAATCTCAGATATTACAGTGTCATCTTTAATTTCTTGCTTGGAATACTACGATTGGTATTTTGTCTTGAAAACAAGTGCTACGTGAAATTTTGTTCTTACCCTGTTCAGTGGCATCTGATTTGATTTGATTTGATTTGATTTGATTTGATTTGAGTATCAGTTTTAATAAACAGAAAAATAGTTAGAAACGCTAGAAAGGAAAATTTAGTATTCAATAAACTCATTCATAACTTAGTCTTTTCTTGAGAAATTTCTTATAATATAAACTAAAATGTAGCAGAAAAGATACGACAATTTGCTGTTTTGAAGTTTTCTCTTGTATATTAAGAAGCATTGTTTATTTACTGCAATATATAAATTACTGAAGATAAAAACAATTGAATGTCAATGAACATAAACAATACAAGATAGTTTCCGACCATAATTTTTTTTTCTCACGAAAACAGTGTCTAGAAAGTACATTATATGAACTCTTAAATACCAGATGAACAAGAACATATAGAGAGGGTAGGAGTGTTCTCTCCTTTCCTTCTTTCTAACCTATGATCGATTATTTCTATTCCTCGATAGCCATGGCCTTAAAATGTTCTGTTTTTTTTTTCTTCCTTGTCATTCATCTTCTAATTCGCTTTCCTTTTTGCCCTTTCTTATAGCCGGACTTATTATTCCTTTTCTTCTATTGGTGTACTTAGGGTGCTGAGCTTGCAGCTGAAGAAGGAAAAAGTGCAGCTGCTTTAGCAGCTTGCAGAACATTAGCAGAAGAGCTTACTGAATCAAGGTTTCCGGCTCCCAGGATTCTTGCGTTCAAGGTTTGTGTCGTTACAATGCTATATGTTTCTCCTCGTTGTGGTTTTTAATTTTCAATTTCTCTAATTGGATTGTGTTTTTGTAAACCTGTTTGTTGTTCCCTTTTTCTGGAGACCTCCCTATTTTACAATTTCTCCATTTCCCTTAATGAAAAAGGTTAAGGCTACTGTTTCTCTCTCTCTTTTAAAAGGGTCTCTGCAATAACGATAAACCTTCTTAATTTGAAGCAGGAGGGGAGCTCTCAGGCTCGGTATTTTGCTTCTCGGCTGATACCAGCACACAAGGACCCTCCTTACGAACAGGTGAGTAAGAAAGAAGAAGATATAACCCACTCTTCATGAATCATTATGTTCTGATCTTATTTGTAAAGACCCAGGAGAATAGCACACTTCACCTCATTGTGAAGGATGGTGCTTCATTGCAATTAAATATCTGAGGAAGCTTGGTTTTTTTATCACGAGCTAGAGAACTAGAGAACTTGATACGACTATTGAGGATTGTTGGGAGGGAGTCTCACGTTAGCTAATTAAGGGAATAGTCATGGGTTTATAAGTAAGGAATACATCTCCATTGATATGAGGCATTTTGGAGAAACCAAAAGCAAAGCCACAAGAGCTTATATTCAAAATGGACAAAATCATACTATTATGGAAGGTCGTGATTCTTAACAATGACATGATGCTAACATATTATTAATTTGATGGCTGCAGGAGGTCAGATTTCCGCAACTTAGAACATTGTCCCCAGAGCAGAGGACAAAGCTGAAAAGTAGTTTTCTTCATTTCGATGATCCCAGTTTCTGTGAATGGATGCGAAGTTTGAAGTTGATCCCACCAGAACCAAGTTAAGTGGGGTTCTTCTTTTTTTCTCTCTTTATTTATACCGACTTATGATGGTCTTTCGATTTATTTTTTCCACTTTAAACGAGGTATGGAGGTTAGGGGAATAGATGTTAAACCCAAGTAGTGGCTCTGCGTCTCTGTTATGAAATGCAACTTAAAAAGATATGATCTTAAGTTTTATAACAACTTATTTTTGTATGATAAAATTTGCTCCCTCATACAGGTTACAAAATCTGTCTTTGGCTGTATGATGGAGCAAATTTATAAACTTATTACAATCTTACATTTTTTGTATGATTAAACTTTGAAATGAATTAGCTGTTCATTCCCAAAATCTAGAACGAATGTCTTTCATGTTAAATACAAACGAAGTTGTTTGTGGGAACAAAAGCATCGAGAACCAAAAAATGTATTTTACAAAAGAAAAAAAGAGTTTTTACTTTGATTTCAATCTTACTGATGTCGAATAAATAAATGTGTATCCCTAATAGACGCCGGTTAGCATAGAAGTCTATTAATGATAGATGTCTATTGGTCTATTAATGATTGTTAACTGATGTTTATAAGTGGCAAACAAATGTTGGTGATATCTCATGACAAGATACGTGTACTACATTAATTGATATCGAATATGTAATGTATTGTATGGGAGCATAGATACAGATACGAGACATAGATATGATATGACACGATATGGACAATTTAAAAATTTAAGGTACCGATGGGACAATGACATATTTAATGATATTATTTTTATCAAAGAGATTTCATACATTTAATGGCTAAAAACGAGTTTGTTCTAAAAAAATTTGTTTATTATGTGTCTATTTAGTATACTTACATGTGTTCAATACGTTTGTAACAAACATTAAACCTATACTTGACACGTATCAAGTATTTGATATGTTTTTGAGCCGATGCTTAGTTGAAGGAGGATTCTTTTGAAGGCTTGCTTGCAGGTAACCTCAAAAAGGGTTGAGATGAGAGGATTATTTAATTCAAGGTTTAGAAGGTTTAGATGGAGTGCTTTGATGAAGAAACTCTCTTTAATCTATCAAAGCTAGTGCTGGTCAAGTAAATAGTAAGAATTTGAATCAATCACTTAAGCAAAGATGATGCTGAGCAAGATCTCTTTGGGAAGAAGAGTTCAAAAATAGCTACCACGACCGAGCACACTCGAAAGGAGAAGATATTGAAAGAACTTTCTATACATATCTATCGGTCGAAACAACACTATCTTGGGGAGGCCATGCTCTCTTCCTTCTTAATAATTGAGCATAAAACCTGTCTTGAAATGTAGGTCTCGAGCTCTTTGGACACTTGTGTCAACTTCAGGTCAAAATTTCTTCTGTACTTGTTGTGCTTTGGGGATATGGATGCCGCCAAAGCGACCGAGGCTGGGACCGTGTTAAGGGAGCTTGAGCTACGTCTCCTTGGGCTCGAAAAACTTTCCGGGGAACCAGAAGGGACCTTCCCCTTAGCCTTGGGCAGCACCCCATCACATGAACTCTTTGCATTCCCCCAGCTCCCCCTTCCATCTATATCATCACAATTACCAGTACTAGTAGTAATAGTATCTGTCAGTAGGCCAGATTTGGTCTCTAGTGGCAGGGGCTTCAGGTAGTCCTGTTTGGATTTCTCAAGCTTTTCCTTGGCTTTCTCAGCTGCTGCGAGAGCCTTGTCTCTGCTCAGAGTTATCAATTTCCATGGATTGATACTGATACGAAGGCCTTGTTTTCCAGTGGATGGAGTCTGGGGATTTGCATCTATTTTTATGGACAATCTTGTTGAGTCCTAAACAGACAACACAATAGATTCAGGCATACCATTCATATTTACACTACATAATCAAGACTGCAGTTTGTAGCTTAAACTACAATTACCTCTTTGACTCGTCCTCCTTGGCACAAGCCAAAACGTGACACCGAAGTTGGCGTTTTCTCGGGCGAATCGAAATCATCGTCTGAAGAGAAATCCGAGTAGTCTTCATCAAATGGATCTTCAATAATAGATTGGCTCTCCTCTTTCATGGCCAGTATGTAATCATATGTTCTCATTCCCTGAAACCAGTGGCTTATATTGAAGAACAGACTCATCCTTGGATGCCATAATCAATCAAGTTAAGGGAAAAAGAAAATCTACCTTTTGTATGAGAACTAGGTGAAAGAAAAATAGTTGTCCAAGTGCTGCTGAACCATAAGCAGTTAGCAACACAAGCAAAACCTGTCATGCCATTTGAGGAATTTGGTTAACTTGTGTCAAACCGAACTCCATTAACACAGAAAGTTTGAGGAAAACTTACTGAAATTGTGGCAAGCGCTTCTCTTGGAAAATCTCTGTGGAACCTTCTTTGCAGCTCCATTTCCATTCCTTTCTTATCTGCAAAACACCGTACGAATATGGCAATGGCCGTTCCTCCTTGGATTCCTAGCTGAATCCGCCCAATTTGTTTTGTTAACCAGATGTTCATAGAATCATACTTGGACAATACTCAAAAGTAAATGGGCGACTAACCATTAACAACACGAATATCATCAGAAGAAAGAATGTGGTATAGTTCTTTTTTCCAACACAGTTGTTTAGCCACTGAGAACAAACAAAAACAACCGTTCATCGGGAATCAAGAAAGCTATCCATAGAAACATGAAAAATGAAGAAAGTAATTTGTAGGATATTTGTATATTACCCTGCAATGGTGATCAAATCCTTCAACGCAACGATTGCAGGTCCGGCAGTGCTTGCTGTGCCTCTTCACCTGTATTGCAAGAAGGAGTTTGATAAGGATCATAAGCAGGCATGGATTGGATTGGATACAAACATTAATTACAAAACATTAAGTACCTCGAAATTACAGAGAGAGCAAAATGTTACATCCTCCTCCTCCTTGGGATCAGGAGTGATCACATCATCCTTCGTTACAAGAAGATAAGGGAGCAAAGGCTCCATTTGAGGGCCAACCTTCCATGGATCCAGATACTTCCTCCGGATGAATGTTTTGAGAATCTTTCTTTCTATATTCCTAAAGCGCCTCAAAACGATTTGCCTGAGCATTAATCCAAAATTAATTCTAGAGAAACTCTTGGATTTGGATTTTGATTCCATCTTCTTCTTGTTTCGGACGCAGGTTTTATCGGTTGGATCAATAGCGGTGCACCTTATGAATAGAAACATGACCGAAAGCACCTGAATATAACGATCAAACAGAAATCAGTAAAGATCTTTGGAGTATTAGTGAGAGAAATCGAGAAATCGAGAGAGAGAGAGACTGAGAGATCCAAGCTCCATCCTATTACAATACCACAAACGAAAAAATTGTCGTGACTGTAATTTCGGCGATTCTGTTTCCAAGGAAAAGCCCCAAGAAAGTGTAGAACGCCATTACTAGAAAGTTGTAAATCGCGATGGCTACAATCTGAAAACAGAAGGAAGGAAATAAGATTACGAAGGCTTCTAGTCTGCAGATGCATTGTATTAAATCGACAAGAACTCAAGTTCCGTTCATTGAAACCCTAATAGTGACCGATTTCTCCATCTAGAAACACAAGGAAGCAGGAAAAAATTCAGAAATTAGGTTAACCTGTAAAGGATGGAGAGGGCGCTGCCAGCCATGGCGTCTCATGATGTTTGTCTGAAGAATGGGCGAGAGTTGAGAGTGAGTATGAAGGAGGAAGGTGGCGTTCATACAAGCCCGCGACAAAGTCCCGGCACTTCTTTCCGTCTTGCCTCCAACGGTCAAATGTCACGTGTCCAAGTTTGAATTTTAACGGCACTTTGCTTTTTACAACAAAGATTATTTTTTATTGCTTATCAAATAAATGAACTAATGTGGGCCACAAATCAAAATCAAAGAATTAGAAGGGTAAATTTGAAATAAAGTTTTTCAATCTCTCACCTTTGGTGTATTAGTTATCGTGCCCACAGTAAACGCTGGGTAACCAAGTGTGGAGCGGATAACTGTAGAAAGCATCTAAGTATGAGTGCTTTAATATTCCGACTTTCCTAAAACCTCCAGTAGCACAACCAAAACAGGGATAGGTTCTCTGCCCCCAATAGAGCGATAGAAGTTTTGAGAAAATATAATACTAAATAATAGGACGAATTAACTTTTCCTATTTGGATAGATATGGTCTCATAGTTATCTATGATTGTTTTTGTCTCTAGTACGACCGGTTGATGAAATAAGGAGGGAAACAGGACAAATAGTTGAAACTACTGGAAGGATTCCTCTTTGGATAATAGGTACTGCAACTAGTATTCCTATGATCGTCTTTTATGGATTATATTTCTAGATTAGATTCATCTCGGTAATAATCTAGAGCGTCATCTTAGGTCTATAAGACTTGAGGCAGAACCAAGGTTTAAGTCAGAGCAGGTAAGCCCTACTCCAAACATATGAGTCATAACATATAAACCTTTATTCCAAAATTTTAGTACTTATGAGTCATAATAGTCTCCACCGCTCGATACCTAGGCATCAGCCTCTTAAGGTCCCATTAAAATTTAGGCTTAACACAACCGTTCGATCTCAAGATATCATTGTTTGAATCTTACGTGGTCAGTCCAAAAATTGAATTTGTTGTGATTTTAAGGTTTATTGTGCAATTACCAAATAGTTTAGGGGTCTTTTTGTAATTTCCTATTTTTAAAAAAATATCTTATTAAAATATCCAACTTTTTTGTTTATTTATTTTTATTATTTATTTTTTACCTCGACTAGCTGAGATTCCTCCTCCATAATTAATTAAAAATTCAAGAAATTTACTTAAAGTTTGAAAAATAACCATTTTGTTCCTTTTCTTTTCCAATTTTTTTTTTCTAATTTGGTAGGACATTAAAATTCCTTCCTTCCCCACCTTAAACTTAATTTCCCGAGACGAAATTCAACCTCTAAAACTCTCGATAAAACTCTACGAGTTGAAATTTTAAAAGATACGTTGAAAATTTATTGACTTCGAGACTCAACTGTTACACCGACAACGACGACTGGAATGAAGCTCCTTTCTCCACCCCAACCTTCCCTCCGAGCAGCTCATCCTCGTCAAGATCATTTGCCTCGTTCTTCATCCCCAAAAATTCTCCAGAAATTAAACGAAGGATTCCTTGTCATAAGCACTCCGATCTTGGACGATATCTTATTCAGCACTACTATGATGCATGTTCTCTTTTTTATGACCATAGCAGTTGATTCTCAAATTTCTTATGTGTCACAAGTAGGACGTTGGTTGATCTTGATCTTCGAGCTAATGTAGATTTGAATTCAAGTTAGGGGTATTAATGTAATTTTTTATAAGTTGGGATAAAAACATTTTTTTTTAACAAATTTAAACCTATTATTGAAACTAGTAGAAAGATATATGTATTTTCTATAATTTAGGAACATAAATTTACTTCTCTTTCAATCTCCAACGTAAAAACTGTCGCAGAGTTCCGGCCAAATAAGGGCGTTGCAATGGCGCTCCGCCAGTGGATCGACGGCGATGAGAGCGCCGCTGAGATGCTTACTAGAGTCCTCAAAGAGCGAACCTCCTTGCTTGTTCCGCCTCTCCACAGAGTTCCTCTCCACGTCGGCAATGTGGTCGAGCTTGTTGGACCCTCTGGTTCAGCCAAGACGCAGATCTTAATCCAGGTCCAATTATCAAGTTGAATTTGTCCATTTGAACTTCTTGCACCGTTTATGACAAATTGTTGGTTCACCTCGAAAGCATTTGGGAACAATTTGTGGGATATTAAAAGTAGACTGCTTCTGTGAGCAGGCTGCAGTTAATTGCATTCTTCCCAAGGAGTGGAATGGGATCCGCTATGGAGGCTTGGAGTGTTCAGTGGTGTTCATTGACTTGGATTGTCGTCTTGACATCTCAAGGCTTTCCCAAGTTTTGAAGCTTCGAATTTTGGAAGGAAATGGCAACGGTGAACTACAATTACCTCTTTGAGTTATTAATCCGTACATGTGCTTCTGTTATACATTTGATATAGAGCTAGTCTTGATGATCGCTATTCTGCTTGCCTAATAAGAAAATAGCGCTCTCAGTAAAATATTAGTTATTTACTATTTTTCTTGGAGGATTCTATTTCTTTGATGTGCACACAGAATATCGAAAGAAAAATAACCCTGCTTATATTCAAAGATATCTATGGAGAATCTCCAAGAAAGATTGGAAATCTAGCTTCCAATCACCATTTAAGACAATGATTGGTTCAAACTCTGGCTTGGAGATGAAGAATTTGACGACCTTGAAGGTCTTCACTGCTTAATCTGTGTTTTCACAGGTCTTTGTCCGGTAGGGAGGCTGGGGATATTTGATCTTTACTTTCTTTGTTGGATTCAGTCTGTGCAAATGTGGGGGAGTGGGAACTTTTTCTCTGGATCCCTTTGACCCTATGAAGGGTTTTTCCTGTAAATCCTCTTTAATCTTTTGTGTGACTCTCACCATCCTTGATCTTTATTTACCTTGTTATGGAGGTTTAAAGTGCCCAAGAAAATCCTCATTGCTTATGGTTTGAGCGGAATGGGAGAGTTTCTTGAACCCCACTTTTTGTATATCTAGTTTGAGGTTTGGAAGTTCCTTTTATGTTGGGCTGTTTCTTTCTATGCCCTTCATTATTCTCTCTCTTTTCTTGATGAAAGTAGCTTTTGTGATTAACTAAGATGGGGGAGCTTTCATGCCAATAGCTCCAGTATACATGTTGTTCCAAGATTTGCTACACAGTTGGTGGAGAGGTCATCCATAATCAATAATCACTTGAGAAATATTGTTGGCTGTTTTTTGGATGGGGAGATAGAGAAATTGTGGACTTTGTATCTTTTGAGCATTAGTTTTATTTCACTTATCCAATGGAAAGTTTCATTTCTCGTTTAAAAATAAAAAAGAAAACAATGGCAAACCACAATTGCAAGTAGAGTATGGGTTCGTGAAAGAGTTTGAGACTGTCTTTTCTGTCTTTCCTAGTTTTGATGTTCCTAAAAACATTTCTTACTGTTTTCATGTATCCTAATGAAGACGCAGCTTGCTTAAGAAATATTGTTGTCTGACTCTTGGGTGGGGAGATGGGGAACTTGTGGACTTTGTACCTTTTGAGCATTAGTTTCATTTAACTTATCCAATAGAAAGTTTCATTTCTCGTTAATAAAAAAAAAAAAGGGAAACCACAGTTGTCAAGTAGAGCATCATTTGCTGAAGTAGTTTGAGACAGTATTTTTTTGTTTTCCCTAGTTTTGATGCTCCTAAAAAGATTTTTACTATTTTCATGTATCCTAATGAACACGCAACTTGTGTCTCGAGAAAAGATAGATGAATCTAAGTGTTAGGCAAGTAGCTCAGAGTAGTGAAAAAGTGTAGAGGAAATAATCCATAGGGTATTAGAGGGAAAAATAATTGGGAAGATGTTATAGACACAAAAGGGGACAGAAGTTTTGGTACAGAGGAGATTCGATGTCACGGAAGATTTTCATTAAAATAAAAAATAAATGGCTACATATATTGTCCATCTTCAAGGCTTTCCCTCTTTGTTACTTACGAATGAGAAGAAGATGTCATTGTATTTCTTGTATATTATGAATTAAATACGAGGCTTTCTTATATGGAAGAAAAACCATCTACCAATAAGGAAGAAAATCTTACAGATTAAAATAATAAGTATATACATAATGCACATCTAATATTACAAAATATAAAGAAACACTCCACCTTAAGCTGACTTATAGATGTCTTCCACAGCCAACGAAGTTGATCGAATTGTCCTTTCAAGAGCCCTTTAGTTAGAATATTAGCCGTTTGTTATGTCGTTGGAGATCAGATATGCATATTACATATGCAGCAATCTTCTCCTTTATGAAATGCTTCTAAACTTCAATATGCTTCATTCTATCAGTAGAACTAGATTGTGAATTATAGCAATGACAGTCTTGTTGTCACAATAGACGTGCATAGGTGTCTTTTGAGACAATTTCAGTTTTTCAAGGATTCTGTTAATCCATATAGTTTCACAAATTCAATTGGCTAAGTCTCTAAATTGACTTCAACATCACTCCTGGCCACTGCATTTTGTTTTTTTTTACCAAATCATGTAATAAATTTCCTCCAACAAAAGAACAATAAGCAGAAGTAGATCTTCTATCAGTAGTACTTTCAACCCAATATGTATCAGTGACACTTCAACTTGGAAATGGTTATGTTTCTAAAATAATATATACCTAGAGTTTCTTTCAAATACCGTAGGATTCTTTACAACTTGCTATTATCAGTAGTACTTTCAACCCAATATGTATCAGTGACATTTTGAGCTTTTTTTTTTAAAGAAAATGATAAGGGATTCTCCATTCTTCCTCTTTGGTGCCTAGCAAATTTGTATCTCATATTGAAGCTTGTGGTCTTGAATTACGGGGAATTCCTCCTTCAACATTTTAAGGACTCCTTTTTTTACTAAAGTTTCCAGAGAGCTTTTTTTGGTCTTTACCTTTTCTTTTGGCAATTCAAGTTTTGGGGTTCTCGTTTGTGGAGAATCTCAGCTGGTTTGTTAGATCTTTTTTGGGCTGAGGACTTTAGCCAACTTTTTCTTGTATTTTCTTATTTTCAGTTGTTGTGTTCAAGTTCTCTTTGGAGTTGAGCTTTTGTTTGATGAGTCCTTTTTGTTTTTTGGTCGTTCTTTTTAGATCTTGTTCTGTTTTCTGGTCCTATTTTCTGGTTCAATTTTCTTTTTCACTACCTTTGGGAGTTTGTATGTTTTGATCATTCTCCTTTTCATTTTCATTATATCCCCAATGAGAAGTTGTTTCTTGTTAAAAAAATGTATTTGATAAGCCACACAAACGCAGGAGATTGGGGAAATTTTGATGCACTATATACTACATGCCTGAGAAGATTCTTTTACATCCGTTGCTATGACAGTTTTGAATTTCTTGCCACTCTCAAGGTAAATTTCTTCTTATTTAAAACAAAGTTAGCCTTCTTCATGCATTTCATTCACATACCTTTTTTTAAGAAACAGATTTCATTAATAAATGAAATAACAAAAAGGAGTAAAGCCTCAATCTATAAACCAAAGAAGTTGTTAAAACTATATGTAAAAAAATTAAATTTAACATAACTTAACTTATAGTTTTCAGTTCAATGGTAGCTCTCTCCAATTCATATTGATTTCCACTTGTTGTGTCTGCAACCACAAGTGAGGACACTGTCAAATTGTATTTAATAGTATATAGGTAAATATAGGAGCTTATTCGTCTTTCTTCATTTATTGTAATTTTACTATTATTGGTTTAGGACTTCCATGTGTACTAGTATATACTCTGCTATATAGATCATGTATTATCCTCTACTATGCAAATCATGTATTATTCTCTACTATATAGACGATGTATTATTCTTCCATATTTGGTCTCACAATAACCCAAAACTAAATATATCATAACACATCAGCCTAAACTTTTGTGTTCAATGGTGATTTTACCGTGAATGAAAAAGCTTTCAATTGATGGATAAAAGGATATAATTACATAACAAGGGATAGCAAGATTCTCTATTGGTCTCCCTTCTAACTTCGTTTGCTACTTGAGATTTCCCCCTTTAAATTAAATCTTTGGAATGCTAAGATCTCAAAGAATGCTAGAAAATGAATTACAAGGACAATTGATTTTTTCTCGAAAAGTTACTAATTTGAAGTATGACAGAATGCTAAAAAACACTGAGTAACAATGAGTCAGCCTACCTTCATAATTGAAATCTCTTCCACTAGTCAATTTCATAATTTACTCCATGATGGGCCACCAAAAAGAAGCAGTCTAAGGTGACCTCCTAGTGGAAGACCAAGATAAGGAAAAGTAAGGATTCAACCTTACAGTGAAGCCTGGAGGCTACAAGAGACAGCTTTGGTCTTCTATATTAACCCTCATATGGCAGATTTAGCTGAATATATTCTAAAACCTAATAGGCATTCCAAAAACCTGGTGGCCGTTAAAAATTTCCCTCTGTTTTTCTAATAAAAGAACTGTTTTGATTCAAATATCCAGCATCTTCAATCTCCTGTTTTTATCCACCGTTGTACTTCAAGTTGGCTCTCTATAATTTTGTGCAACCTCCATTGTGTACAATTTGTCTATATAATTCTTTAGACCTTTTGAATTTCAGACCATGCACCATAAACTTCAAAAAGAAAGAGATGACCTTGGAATTGGGTTGCGTCTACTCATGATCGACAGGTTTGTGCTAAAAGTAATTTGGAATCTCGTGATGCGTCTCCTGCTAGATAGAGTTTTCAATTTCTTCTTATTTGTCGATTTATTTCATGAACATAAAAGATAAAGATGTAGGCATTCTTATGTTTTTTTTTTTTCTATCTTCCTCTGCCATGCCATTTATGCCAAAGGACTTCAAATTGGTTTTGCTAGTAAGAGTACTGTAGAAAATACTCTTCACACACTTTCGTTGTTCTTTTTTTGGGGGATGGGAACCAATTTTAAGTTAATTTTTTTTTTTTATAATGACTCTTCTGGCCACGGGATCCTCATTGATAATGCCATCCTCCAATTGTTTATCGATCACAACAAGTTCATGGGGAAGAAAATTTTCTGCGAATTGGTATTGCCGAAGGTGTTTTGGTTCCATTCTTGTAGTGTTATTTTGAGGTCTTTCAATTTCTTTATGAACCCATGCCCTGGCACCATCAGTCCTCAACAAAAGGCTAGAATAACTTGTGTTCCAACCACATATTTTGAACTTAATGGGGAAGGACCCTTGTTTGGCTGCCAAGAGTTTAGGTGGCCATTAGATTGAAATTCCTCAAATAACCTTTGAAAGTCTTGCAAAAAGTACTGATATTTCAAGAAAATTCAATTGTGTATCCATCAGGGCCCAATGCCTAATTCTTAGGTTTTTCATTTCCATTCTTGTTCTTCTAGAGAAAATGGAGCAATAAGAACAGATTTTTCTTTTGATAAGAATACAAGAAGACACCGTAGACCAGCAAAGATTAGAAGGAGTAGTACGAATGCCTGGGTTTTTTTTTTATATAAAGAAGAGAAGACCACAGAATTTCCTCCTGCTCAAATTCTCTTTAAGCAAGAAGCGAAGATCCAGTAATAGAAAACAGTTCTGAAATCAGATTTTTTTCTCTCTTTTAGCTGCCAAGAAATGATGTAAGAAGCTTTCATCACCCAATTTTAATCAATGCAACTTACATTTATTAATCCAATTTCTTTCCTCAGAGAAATAAAACTCCATAATTTCACCTTTAATCGCAATTCTGATGTCTAGCTCAGAGGAGATAACACATTAGTTTCTGATTTTGCATCAAAGAACTCCAGTTCAGGTATGAGACTTGGTTCCTTTCTTTTCCTTTGTGTTTTAAATTCAGCACATCATTTCTTGATATCTTCTATTAATTTTCTGAGTTTTGAACTAATAAAAAATCCAGCCCATCCTTGAGAACAATCTTGAACAAGGGATTTCTCTATAACTTTTCCATATTCCGAATGAATAAGCCAACTGTTGTAGAACTGAAAAGGGGAAGGACCCCAAATGAATGCTCCTGCTTCAAGTAACAATGGAAAATGATCTAAAATGTGCAAGCTTGTCTAGATACTCTGGAGTTATCAAACAAACCCTCCCATATTTTTGGTCAATGATCTCTATTTCTGCTGGAATAAAACCACAAAAAATTTTCTTCTCTTGAATTCTAAAAGCTGAACAATCCATGCAATTAGGAGTATGATAAGATATACTAACTAAACCCCCAAAATGCTGCCCAGTTTCTTCAACAATATCTTTTCCCGCAAGGCAAATGAAGCTTTTTCAAAGAAATCCAACCACCATATCCTTCAATCAGCTTAGGATGGGAACGATCATTTTGTGACCATTTCTCAATTTTCAGATGGAAATTACCAATTTGCCTCCACTTACCGTCAAATTCAAAATCTGAAAATTCATCATTTAACTTCAACTTATCTGCCATAAATGGATTGATTAAAACTTTGGATTGCAAAGAGAAAATTGAATATCTTTCCCAGAGTTCTGGGCTAGCAATCTGGATAACAAAAATGAATTTAAAAATCTTTCACCTACATCATTGTCTTTCCTAACCCAACATTAGAAAAGAGGAGTCTTCTAGGATGAAAACTAACTGTGGGGCTGCAATAGACAAGAACATTATAATTTTCTATTTTGAAAAAAAGAAAAATCCCAAATCGATAAAAAGAATAGCAAAAACATTTAGGTTAGAAAGGAATGGCCAAAGAATCTCCAAAGTTAGTAACTTGTAATGGCGGTTAAACACAAGGTTAAGCACAAAATTACATTTATTAGTGGCAACTAGTCAATGGTGAAGCCTAGCATGACCCACGACGAGGTAGTCTAGCGATAATGTAACTACAATGATGGACTCTGGTGACAATGTGACCTATGTCGATGAATCCCTTCACCCTCGAGGTGAATCTCTTGTTTGACGACGAGTCTCCGATGGTGCCCAAATCTTGATGGCCGACACCTCCAATGTGCTCTACATATTTCCTGTGACGGTGACACTAGACATGCCAGATCATTGGTGAACACACCTACGACCAGCTACTTGTGACAGCCAACCTTTAGCATGACCTGTGTGCCTACAGCCCTCTGCGGCAGGCCATATTTGCAAATTTGAGGCCTCTCCTTATGAAGGTTGAGACCTACGCCAAGCAGTCCAGTACCGTACATTAGTTTTCCTCAGTCGCAGGGGACTTGCCATCTTCTCTCTTATGGATTATCCTAGCAACAGCTCACTCGAGAAAGGGAACACAATAAATGGCTTTTCCATTTTCTTAGTCATAGGGATGGCACCATCTCCTCCACCTCTAAAACTCAACCATTATCGATAGAAAGACCTATTTAATTGAGCTAAATGACAGATGTAGGGAAACAAGAATAAAATTATCAATGATCACCAGAGACGAAGCCTTTTTCGCATCACTCAAATGATGGCTAATAACATCTTACCAGGCCCTACTATCAGCCCCCACTGAATCGAAGTTCTTCAACGTTTTCCAAAATATACCATTTGGATAGAGAAACTCATCAACTAGAAGGGTACTATGGTTGATATTTCTCAGTTCCATAGAAATAGTGGTCTTAGTTAACTTTTTGTTCCAGTGAGTGTTGAACAAAAATGATGGACAGCCTTCCTCAACCTCATTGAAGATTAGCCTCTTTCATCCACCAAAAAACTTCTTCAACAACTAAAACCCAATCAATTTCAGAAAAAGAAGCCAACCACAAATACGCTTTCCGTCCCTTGCCTTCCATAAAAAAAAATCCATCACATAAACTAGAAAATCCCTATACAGAAACAAACCTTTCGATCCTCAACAAAAAGGGCAAGACAGTCATCACAGAGTTTCCCCGCTCCCTTGTTCCTATTGTTTGGGATACAGTGGCGATCATCATCACCTGTAAAGAAAATAGAGGTGTCCATCTCTTGATAATAGTCAAAGATTGAGCTTTTCCTTGCTCCTGTCTTTTAGGTTGCTTCTTTTCTCTTTTTTTATAACGCTACTTCAGGTTTCTTATAAAAAGGAAAGGAAAAAAGGTTGGAATTGTATTAAGGTGCACATATGTGAGAATTATAAATCTTTTCTTCAGCTCAACGTACTGCGCTTGCCTAATTTCTTATTGTATAGCCAATTGTATCTATAAATGTTGAATTTGGGAATTATTTCTTTCTTCTTTCTGTTTAGTATTGGAGCTTATCATTGGGTTGATCGTGTCTCTTCATCCTTGCCTTTGTGGGGTTACAACAGGTAGTGCCTTCAAATTTTAAATTGTTTAATTATATATTTATAGGTTTATGCGCACTTGTCAAATTAGAATTCTCACTAAATTTTGGGAAAAGGAGATTATTAGCTGCCATTTTAAACTTTTTCAGGCATTCCAATTTAAGTCTTGCATGAGCTTCTTATTGTGAGTTACTGATGGAGTAGGGTTTGCGATAGAGAAAGTCTCCAGTTACTTTTTATCATGTGATTTGTGCATCAGAGTCAACTATCCAAATCTCCTTTATAGACATTTCTTAAGAAATATTTTGATTTTTTTCTTTTTCATTCGGCTCCTGACCTATTTCTTAGTCCCTCATTTTCCTTGGTTGATTTTTCCCCTTACAAGTGTGCCTAAACTTTCTCATGCATTTTTACAAATTCGGAGGATATTACTTCATTTTAATCTCACTCTCTATTTGACGTACAAGAAAGTTGATTAGACATACTAGGAATGTTTGGTGGTTTCTGCTGCTTTGATTAGTTCTTTTACAAGGTTTAATAGCATCATCTCTCTTTCTATTAAAGAACAGATTAAACATCCTAGTCTAGGATATCCCAGTTTTTCTCTCTCAAATACTTATTTCCAAATCATCTCTTCGAGTTAACGTCTCAAGCTCCATTTCCTTCCTTTGCAGGGGTTGACTTTATCTCCCTGGTCTATAAATTTTGTAGGCTCCCTCTTATTTTCATTGACGTGATTGTTTCTTATTAGAAAGAAAAATAGAAAACTATTCCCCCTACTATTTCATATAGATACCATCAATAATAAAAGAATACTAAACTACACCTCATACAAGCCAATGGTAACTTTTTTCTCGCATGCATAATTTTGTGAGAATCATCCAAAAAAAAACGTGTTTCAACAATGTACAATTGTGTTCTCATTGTTATGTATTCCTAGTGTTATGACAATTTTATGTATTTACTCTCTCAGGAAAGGCTTTTCTCTTGCAAATATGTTAGAAGCGGCAGTAGAAGAAATTAAAAAGCTTTTGCTGGTGCATCCGAGTATTGTTATTGCTTCAAAAGCTACCATTTTTGGGGATAGATCTTCTGACATAGTTAGACGGTGAGTTTAAGGCCCAAAGGGACTTTTTTTTCCCATATGTGAAACAAAAAGTTGCATAGCATAGTCTTAACTCTTGAAGAATTATGTTTCTTGTACTTTACTGCCTAATTCGGTATGCTTTACAAGATTGGTGATATGTGCCTAGTCTTAACCGTTTCATATTTGAGATATGAATGCTCGCTCTGATCCATAGACTTGCATGCTTCTTTCACGTGGTCGAGTACTTTAATAACTTGTTACAATTCTCTAAGACTATTATGCTTCATATTGCTTGAAGACTTGCTTCGCGAATTGGGAGATCTATGATATGAATCTACGTATCACCAATTCTTTTGTTATTCTTGCCCATGTTTTGGTTGCTTCATTTTCAATTTCTCTTTTCTTGGATAGGAAGCAACTACCTTCATTGGTTCTTCCATCAAAAGAAAAATAAAGAAGAATAAGGAGAATGATGTTATGCTATATGGTGTGACCTTGATTTCCAAATTGATGAACTTTTCAGGTATTGATATGAGTTGGAAACTGTAAATTTCACTTCAACTATATTTAGTCTTTTTTAAAACAAGATTTCATTGAGATAAATGAAAGAATGCAAGACATATAAAAAACAAGCCCACAAAAAAAGAGGCCCAACACTAACTATAAGAACGAATCCAATCCAAAAGAATGTGACAAGTAATTACAAAAAGTCTAATTAATAAACTCACACAAAAAAGAAATAAATCTAGCTAACCCTCAAAACTCCTCTCAAGACCTCTCAACCTCTCTAATTATCCTACCGTTCATCTCAAGCTAAATTTCCCACAAATGGGGGGGGGGGGGGGGGGGGGGGGGGGGGGGGGGGGGGGGGGGGGGGGGGGGGGGGGGGGGCGGTGTGCGAAGAAGTTCAACAGTGCTTTACTTTATCTTGAAAAGGAGGGTTCAGGAGCACTTCCTTATCATAGAATAACAGATTGCGAGCCAACACAATCCCATAAGTCTTGAAAAATTGATTCCAAAGGAAGAGAGCAAACCGACAATCTTTCTGTTGTTTGATGTACTCTTCTCTCAATAGGGATTATGTTTTTTTCTACTTTTTGGAAGATTTATTCCAAAGAATATTAAGTTCTTTGTGTGACAAGTTATTCATAGACGAGTAAACACTCTTGCTTTAATCACTATAAATTCTGTTGGAACTAATAATTATCAACAATTGAAAAGTGTTCCTTTTGTAATATCCCTTTAGCCGTGGTTTGAGAAATATTAGAACTATGGACATTGTTGTTTCGATATTTCTTTAGATGATATGACATACACTAACCCTCACTAACTTATGTCTCAGTGAAAAATCTTCATCAGAGACGGAATCAAGACATGGGAAATCCGATGGTGGACAAGTTTTGTACCGTGAGTATATGCCTTCTGCATGGCAGGTAATCTATGAAATTGTCCCTGCCTATATTTACTTTTATGAAAGCCATAACTTACGTAGTTAGAAGTGTTGTCAGATTTTAAAGATAACAAGTCTCTCGATCACGTTAACCAGACTTGAGGTATTGCCTGAATAAAAAAGAAAACAAACATAAATTTAAGGCAAAAAAACTAGAAATAAAATTGTTATCAAACAGTGTCTAAATCATATAAGAAGAGATAAGACATCCAAAGCCACTGTTGTTACCATCACCTTCCTCTGAATTTAATGCATCATTCACTGATTTTCTGGAGACATTGTCCTCGCGGTGTACCTAAGGCTCAATGTTTTCCTTTCCTTCTTCTTGGTGTTTTGGAATCGAGTATTATAAGTTTCGTTTGCTAACTATTTAGTTTTTAAAAATTAAGTGTATGAATAGTCTACCTAATGGTTTCTTTGTTTTATTATCTACTTCTAAAAGTCGTCTTCAAAATCTAAATCATGTTTTGAGAACTAAAAAAATGTAGTTATGTTTTTAGAATTTGGCTAAGAATTCTAGTATTTAGATAGAAAAGATGAAAACCAAAATCAAATCCAAATAGTTATTAAACGAAATTGTATCTATTTGTTTGGATTGAAAATTATATCAAGCATTAGTTTCTATTTGAAAATTTGATGATCGTTATCTTTTTTTTTTATTTTGTTGTTGGAATGTCTTCTCATAGTAAACCACAACTGTAAACACATTCTCATTTTTAAGCACTATCATTAGAATCTTTCTTAAATTATAAACAAATAATGGAAAACTAGTCATTTTGTATTTAAGTCATATTCCATTTTAGTCTAGTTCCAAAGTACTCCACCAGAATGATATTTTGATCATTCTAACCTTAGAAAGAGACTAATTTGTTTGTGTTTTGCAGTCTTTTGTAACGCACAGAGTTTTTGTTCGAGGCTCAGGTTTGATTACATATTATGCTCAAAAGTGGAATGATTTGGTCAACTTTCTATATTTTCAGTCATTTATCTGATAGCTTTTATTGCCTTGCAGACGAATATCTTACAGTGAGCAGTTGTGAGCATCAATCAATATATTTTTCTGAATGGCTTCTACCATCCCTGGGTGTCCTCGATAAATTTATTGTCAAAAATGTGAGAAACCAACCCATTTTCCATATATTATCACTAAACTCGTCAAGCTCCACACTCATCGATAGTAATTGATATGTATTATTTCTTTTAAAGTTAGAAGTTCAAATTCTCGTAGTACTAACTTTAACTTTAAATGGATAAGGGGTTAAATGTATTTCTTGTCTAAATAAACTTACATGAAAAAAATTTGTACCTGCAGGCTGGCATCTTTATGGTACCATGAACTGCATTTGTTTGATATGCCACTGACCAGTTCTTGGGCGTTCTTATGATTCCAGGTCAGCCTTTTGTTTTTATTTGAATAACGTTTGGATGTCCAAGTTTTGTATTATTATCATTGTAGTTGAAGTTTTTATTGTTCAACTATCTAAAAAGCGTCTACTTTATTATGATAGTTAACGTCTAGAAGTGGCGTTTTAAACTATGGTATGCTCGTCAACAAAGGTTAATGTTGATGTTTTCTACCTCAAATATCATACAAAAATGTAAATAATATTATTGTTGTCCTCACATATCGGTCAATATAAGGCATTATTGAGCTCGGTAGTCGTCTAACTTAAATATAATACTTGCACTTGCACTTTTTTCTCGTTTGCATAGCATGATTAATTATATAGCCCACAACTATGATTAAAAAAAAATTCAGTGATATATTTTTTTTGTTGACTGGTTTTCATTGTTTAGGGTTCAAGGTTTAGGGTTGCGCACAGCTGAGGACTTAATCGAATAAGGGAAAAGTGGTTTGGTTCGTGGTTGGTTGGATTGAGCTTCTCTTTCTTTCATTTTTTTCATTTTCAGTGTTTGAATAAATAGGTTCAGGAGAATGAATCTTTCATCTTTCTCTTTTTCTTTCACCGAGTGAAAAAATAAAGAGGAGAAAGAACCAAATAGTTTAGAGCCGAAGGAGAGAAGCAGTGAGACCAAAACTTTCAAACATCCATAGTACACTCGTTACACTATACTGAACAAGCCAACCTTACAAAAGATATTTATTATTTATTTCTGATTTTTCTTCGGTCATCAAATGTTGTAACTCTAATATGTTGATTTAGATTCTACAAATCAAAATGAATGAGAATAATAAAGACGTTGGGCCAATGTGGGATCTCACAACAAGGACCTTTGAATGATAAAAAAAAAAAAAAAACAGCCAAATTATCATGTGTTTTAGCAAAACTATCAATACGATCCTATCACAAATGTGCACTAGTGGAACTAGAGTTATCTAAATAAGTAACATGTGTTGTATTTTTACCTATACAAAAGAAATATACCTTTGATCGTTGTTTGTACAACTTACTTATATATTCACTTATTGGGACGACTAACAGACTTATAAATAAAGCAAAAGAAAAAGAGGATTGGTTCATAATTGTTTAAGAGTGATCTTAAAATAATGGAAATCACGTTTAACTTATATTTTTCTGTTCACATGAAATAGATTTGAACATCTCGTTTTTTAATCGAAATTAATATATATTTTAACTAGTTGAAATATGCTCAAGTTTGAACTAATAAGTTACTTTAAAGTTGAAAGTGACCCCAAATAGATTTATATTTCATGTTAACCTCGAGTCTAGTTAGTTTAGGTTTTCATGTATTTGTTCATTGATTTGAGGATTTAATATTCAAAACGTGTTACGTGTCACAATCGTACACTATCAAGACTCGCAACACGATTGTGTGACATTTACTCTCACTCTTGAGTAAGTCAGCCAACTAGAATTTGGATTGTCATTGGCACAAACAACATATGCTCAAACCTTCGACCTCGTTCCTCAAAGAAATATTTTAGAAAACGAAGATAGATAAAGTTTTAGAAAGCGTTTGAAAATTGGTTTGTAAGAAAGCAATGGTATATGCTAAAAACAAAATATGCAACAAACACAACTTTGATAGCGTATAACTCGGGTAGGAAGAATTGACAACTATTCACATTTGCTATTACATCTCGAGACCTTTTAACTTTGACATATGTAGACAATAATAGTAAAGACCAAATTAACATGAAAATAAGTAAAAATGGTTTAGAACATGCATATGACACATGCAACATGCTAAGCATGATCAGGATATCTAATATGCGGCTACAAGCAACATACCTTAGACAAACATGACTGTGACACTCGCATCTTATCCCATGTTTTATGTGATTTTTTTTTGTTTTTGTTCTAAAACATGTCTTTTGTACTGTTTTTTTTAAAACAATATTTCATGCTTTCATGACTTATTTGTAAGAAAATAAAATGTATTTTATTTTATTTTTTGTTGCAAAATTAAGTAATGAAAACGTTTCCCTAAATTACAAAAGTGGGTTATGTGAAATAAATAAACTTTATCCTAGAGTAACTTTTATCCGTTGAGTGATGACCCTTCCACTCGGTACCATTGGATCATTACGGTCGACTTTCGTCCCTTTTCGACAGGTGGGTCTTGCAGTCAAGCTCCCTTTTGCCTTTGCACTTGAGGCCAATCTCGGTCGGCTCGAAGAAACCTTTGTATGCCTCAGTTACCTTTTGAGAGGCAGAGTCTCTTACTATCTATAATATATATATATATATATATGAAATTTTATACATTCGATATTTTAGAATAACTTCTTACGTAATATAAAAAAAATATTAATGAAAGTACACGAACAATATGCCATATATTTTTAAAAATAATAATTAAAGTAAAAAAAAAATGTGTCAGAAATATATTTTAGTTTTATTTATTAAAAAAAATGCAGTAAAAAATTAAAAAAAAAAAAAAAAAATTGAGAATAGAAATTTATGTTATTTAAACCCCCTATAAACCCAAGTCTGGTTCAGGGTTCATTGGCCTCAAAGCTCAGAACTGAGAGTCGATCTTTCACCACTGGAAAATAGTCTATAATGAATGCAACAATGAAAAGAGAAGGTTTGTGTTCGTCATCTTCAATTTTAGGGTTTGGAAATGGATCATCAAAGTGTTTCGTCCCTACTTATAATACACACTAACGTTTTCAAGTTTCTGTTCAACTCGGTTTCGTCGTCTGTGCAGTTCATTTGAGCAGTTCGTTTGGGAGTTTTCAAATTTCAGTAGCTACCTCTACTCGATAAGTTCCTGCAAGATTCGGATGATAAGGTGTGCTTGTTTCGATTCACAGGATTTGTGGATGTTTGATTTCCTACGTTCGTTTCAAATTTAATCATGACCACCAATTTTTGAGATCTGTTTGATTAATTTTTTGGATTTGGTGGCAATCTATGCATTTATATTCTGGATTATTGAATTCTATATGAATTTTGTGGTATGAAAGATTGATTGCCCTATGCTAAGAAGGAGCCGACGTTGTACGGAACCTCAGAGCTCGTTGAGCTTCTTTTTCCTTTTCTGAAAAGAATGGCTGGTTTGGATTCAATATGCTGCGAGACGAATCTATTTCTCCAAAGTGTATTTGCTATTGTCGTAAAAGGTCATTGGAAGCACCTCTTGAAGCCCAAGATAAGTTCTAGCCTGACATCGATATCCATCCACCAGATTCTCCTCCAGCTATCGTTTTATTGTTCAGGTCCTTCACTTTCTTGGGCGTTTTTCAAGTGGGTTGAGTTGATTCCTGATTACAAACACTCTTTACAATCCTCATGGACCATGATATGCATTCTCACAGAGCACAAGCATTTCAAAACTGCACAAAATTTGGTTGAAAAGATTGCACATAAGGATTTCATATCCTCCCCATTGGTTTTAAATGCTTTGGCAACCACCTATGATAATTCTGATGTAAATGCACATATTTTGAGCTGGTTAATGATAATATATGTAAATTGCAAGATGTCCCAGGATGCTATTCAGGTTCTAGAATATATGAGGCTTCATGGGTTTAAGCCTCATTTGCATGCTTGTACTGTGCTTTTAAATTCCTTGGCAAAGGATAGGTTAACCGACTTGGTATGGAAGATTTATAAGAAAATGGTTCGAATTGGAGTTGTTCCTAACATTCATATATACAATGTGCTCATTCATGCTTGTTGCAAGTCTGGGGACGTTGAAAAGGCTGAACAACTATTGAGTGAAATGGAATTGAGGTTTGTTTCCCCTGATCTTTACACATACAACACGTTGATATCTTTGTATTGTAAAAAGAGTCTGCATTATGAAGCTTTGTGTGTTCAAGATAGAATGGAAAGGGGAGGAGTGAGCCCTGACATTATAACATATAATTCCCTAATATATGGGTTTTGTAAAGAGGGTAGGATGAGAGAGGCTGTAAAGCTTTTTCGCGAAATTAAGGATGTTTCTCCCAACCATGTTACATACACCACGTTAATTGATGGATATTGTAGAGTGAATGACCTTGAAGAAGCACTAAGATTATGTAAGGTGATGGAAGCTAAGGGTCTGCAACTTGGAGTTGTGACTTATAATTCAATTCTCCGTAAGTTATGCGAGGAAGGCAGGATAAGGGATGCAAATAAACTCTTGAATGAGATGGGTGAGAGGAAAGTTGAACCTGACAATGTCACTTGTAACACATTAGTTAATGCTTACTGCAAAATAGGAGATATGAAATCTGCATTGAAGGTGAAGAGCAAAATGTTGGATGCTGGACTGCAGCTCGACAGCTTCACGTACAAGGCGCTGATTCACGGATTTTATCGGGTAAGAGATATGGAAAGTTCCAAAGAACTCTTATTTGTCATGCTTGATGCAGGACTATGTCCCGGTTATTGCACATATTCATGGCTAGTTGATGCTTATTGTGAACTAGGAAATGAAGGAGCTATCATAAGTCTACTTGATGAGTTTTTGACAAGAGGTCATTGTGTTGATTTATCAGTTTATAGGGCACTAATAAGAAGGTTGTGTCACAGAGAAAGGGTTGGTTTTGCTGAACAAATATACAGCACCATGCAACAGAAAGGTATATCAGGAGACAGTGTGATATATACAAGCCTGGCATATGCTTACTGGAAAGAGGGGAAGTCGAATCTTGCTTCAGAGATGCTGCATGAAATGGCTAAAAGAAGATTAATGGTAACCCTCAAGATTTATAGATGTTTCAATGCTTCTTATGGATGCGACAACCACATGTTGCATCTATTTTGGGATCATGCTTCAGAGGGAGGCTTACTGTCTAAGAGCATCACCAAGGAAATACAAAAAATGAACTTGCAAACTGGTTGATCAAAAACTTTGCTATTGCTAATTAGAAGATATGCATTGGTTCACATCAGACAGAACACTGTTAGATGCATTCCTTCGATAGCATGGTTTCCGCCCATTTCAATTGATCAGTCTTCGGTCAGTAATCTCGTACTCTCAACCGACTTAACTTGCTTACCAAGCCACCCACTTGAGAAGCTAGTCACTAGAAAGAAAAGAATCGAGGAGGAAGAAAGCTGTCATAGAAGCAAAGCTTACCCCCCCGTAGTCGTAGTACTCAACTAGTCTCTACTTTGACTCAAAAAGTCACCGACGGTTCCCCACTTTCTCCGGTTTCTGCAACCGTAATCATTTGTCACTCCCATTACTTCATCCATCAACCTTTTTTTCTTATTTCACGGGGTGAACCAATATTGGTTCAAGAACCACTCCACTGTGCGGACCCATGACTTACAAACACTTGAACTTATGATCAGTTAGATCAAATCAAAGGAAAAAAGTTTAGAAAATGAGCACATTGATCATATCAGGGAGGGACAGGGTTTATTACTCTATCAGTTGTCGATCCCAGCAGGATGCCAAGAGGGTATTATGCGTGCCTTGTTAAGTTGAGCTTTGCATTTGCATCTTGTGAATCAGGGAGAGGTACTACCATTCTTATGCAGGTATTGAATCTGCTGATCCTCTTGTTCTTTGATGTAGCACAGAAAAACACTGGAAGTATGGAAGTCTGAAACGGAATCATGAGAAATCTCTTAGTTTATTCATTTTTCACGTGCAGAAGTCTCCTGCTGCCTCTTATATCAAGGCATAGCACTTTTTTACTTTGGTAAAATGGTAGGGTTATTAAAAATTCATTTTCTCAAGTGTAATGGACTTTGTTGTGCCTTTT